CACGGCGCATTGCAGCTGTATGTTCCTTCGATCTGGCCTGGTGTCGACTCGCTGCCCTGGTAGGTGCACGGACGGCCGTCGCAGTTGTCGCCACCGTAGCGGTTCAAGGTCCACGAGCCGCCCGACTGTGTCACACGCATGTTGTACCTGGCAACAGACAGACAGACAGACACACACACAGACGTTTGGTGGCAGAACTTCTTGATGAAGTGATTGACTTACCAGGCAGTTGCGCTTTCGTTGTTATTGAAAAGTTCGCAGCGATAGTCAGATCCTTGCAAGATGCAGTTGCCGTACCACGTCCACTGATGGCCCTCCTTAATTTGGAATTGCGGCCCGAGTTGGAGCCGCCGCAGTGTCAAGCCGTCTGCCAGGAAGGTAACCAACACACACGGGGCGATCCATGGTAGGTGCGCAAACAAGCGATCGCTTACCTGTGTCATCGGTGGCGTTCAGGGGCACACCACCTGCACACAGGGGAGACACATACACACACACACAGACATTGGGCGTCCTTCTGTGCGGATGGTGTGTGAGTACCCTGGACGGGGAGGGGAGTCCCCTCATCACGAAGCCCACGCAGCTGCACACACCGCAAGCCGACGCACAGCCAGTGCTCAATGAACCACTCACTCATTGGCGTGTCTGCCTGTCTGTTGTGTGTACCCTACCGTCTGGTCGGCCGCCGCCAGGGCACAGAGGAGGCCAACGAGGACGAAGAGCCGATGCATCTTTGGCCGGCTGACTGACAGGAATCCCAGGCAAAGCAGGCACAGGCAGGCACAAGCAGGCAAGCAGAGGCACAAGTAGAGCACTGGCACAAGCGATGGAATGACGCGAGGAGAGGGCAGTGCAGTGGGGCTGCTGACGAAGACAGCAGCCGACAGGAAGACACAGATCTCTCTCCTCTCCCCCTCTCCAATACATCGCGATAGAGGAGAGGAAAAGAGAGCGGGAGAGCACTTCGCAGGGTTAGGGCTAAGCTCGCATTTTGACCCCAAAGCTCGCAACTTTCGCGTCATCCGATATCCCGTGGCGCCATCGCTTCTTGGCGTGTCCGGCGATCGCATTTTCGATTTGTTTGATTGACTGAGCGAGTTGAGTTGTGCTAGCTATTGGTTTGCTTAAGGCAAGATGTTGAAGTGGCTGGGAGTGAACAAGAAGAAGCAGAAGGAGGACGAGATATTCGACTCCGTCAGAAGTGAGTGCGAAAGGTCATTCAAGCACTCAGTCAGTCAATCAGTCAGTCACTCGGATGTGGACGGACGGATGGATGGATCTCTCGCACATACATCGCACAGGTGGTCTGCAGTCGATGTATAAGCAGCGGCTGCTGCCTCTGGAGCGGGACTTCAAGGCCAACCAGTTCTACGC